TTGCCCATTTTTTCTGGGTTTTCAACCTAACTAGCATTTTTTATTTCTTTTATTTTTTTTTTTTTTTTTGCTCTTTTTTTTTGTTGATGAAAAATAATGCAAGTTACAAGGTTAAAAAATGAGTACATACCAAATGAGTGCCTCCCCTACACTTTTTTCGAAACACTGTCCCTAGTGTTTGGAACCATGATTGTCGATGTACCCTCCATAACCGCCATCGCCACCAAGACCATGTTCACCGGAGCTAGAACCTCTAAATTGCTCTAACATGAGGGATAATACCACGTCGGGTGTTGTACTAGGTCGGGCATGTTGGAGAAGTACCCTTGGTGGTCGAAGTTATGTGTTCTTTTTGGTGTCTTTTTTTTCGTTTTTATTTTTTTGTGAATTCCAAACTTGAGCTTGGGGGGTTAGGGAATTCGGTTTGTAGGGTATTTGGGGGATTTGGTGGGTTTTGTGTGTGTGGGTTTGGAATGTAGGGTGAGGAGAAAAAGAAATGGCATTTTTTTTTGGAGGTTTTGGGATCGCAGAGGATGATGTGGATAAGAAGAATGTGGAGTTAATTTGGATGTTTTGGTTGAGATTGGAGTGGTTTGAAGCTTGGATGATTGTCAATGGAGGTTGAGGGTTTGAGTTTGGGACATTAGGGAAGAAAATGGGTGTTTTGTGGGCTGATTTAGGACCAAAACGGACTGAAATCTCGATTACCCGGCCGGGTTTTAGTAATACCCGAATGGGTATGCTGTTTTTCGCTTGGCAGTGGCTGTTTTGGCCAAAAACCCGGCCGGGTTTTTGTAATACCCGGTCGGGTTTTAGGCTATTTTATTGATTTTTTCAATTTTTTGCCCGGTGGCTGTGTTGCCCGGGTATTCCAATTTTTGTGCATTTACCCGACCGGGTGTGGGATATACCCGGGCGGGTTTTCCTCCCAAATTTTTTTTTAAATAAAAAAAAATTTAACACACAACTGAAAATGGGAATAATTAAAATAAAAATTTGGGTTGCCTCCCAAGAAGCACTTGATTTAATGTCGCGGCACGACGATTTTTTTTTCAGTCGTTTAAGCTTGGATCGTGATAATCCATCTTCTTCTTATTTTCATTTGTTACACTTTCATAGAAATGCTCAATTTTCCATCCCATCACTTTGAAAATCTTTCCAGGATCAAATATCCAGATTTCTATTGAACCATGTGGTGAGAGTGAGGGTCCATGATTTTCATTAAGCATGGTCAATGGAAGGTGTTTTGATCCGGGTGGTATAAGAGGGAGTATGAAATATTTGTGTAACTCCACCGTTATTCCTTTCTTATTTGTGAACAAAGAGAAGTCTAAATTATACTCACAATTGGTGAAGATTTCATAGATATCTTTGTCCTTCTCCACCCTTTGTGTTTCCCTTAGAGCCTCGGGAAATGGTGGTATGATCTCAGGAGTGGCCGGTGGTTGAGTTGAGTTTTGAGGTTCCTCCTCCGGTTGAGCTTTCTCCGTAAACTCCTCTTCTTCTTCTTCCTCGCCCATGTGGATCACAATGCTTGGCATTTGTTTCAACTGATTGTCCAAGTTCTGTTCGTTGGACACTGCTTCTTGCGGGCATTGTGACATATTTTGTTGCATATTCGTCACATTGATAGTGAGAGCTCGGATCATGTCTTCAGTGGACATGCTGGAATAAGAACTTGAGTATGGGTTATATGTGTTGGAGAATGAATCAGATCTCTCTTGGAAACCAACACCATTCCTTTGTTCAAAGTATTCTTTTTGAAACTCTGGGCAAAAATCCGTAAGATGCCTGTGTGACATGCAAATGTTGCATGTATGGACATCTTGAGATTTTGAGCATGAAATAAACTCCTTTATTAGAGAAGTCAAGTCGGAAATTTGACTCTCTAGGGATGATGTGTAGGTATCCATATACTCATGAAAGCTCAGAAAATAGAAAAGTAAGATTTTTATTTATTTTTTTTGTTTTTGATTTTTATGAGATAAAATAAAAAGAAAAATAATTGCCTTTCCCCGGCAACGGCGCCAAATTTGACGAGCACTTTGTCACGGTGCGTCAAAATAATTTTCAATACTAACACTTATACGTAGTATAGCGTAGTAGAGTTCGTATCCACAGGGAAAGGAATAATTCTCTTTTTATGATACTTAGTAAATAAAAAGGGGGGATTTGGATTGAGTGATTTTATTTAATTAAGAACTAAGATGAACAACCTATACGTGTTTAATTCAAAGATAAAAAGGACTTGGCATTGCTATTTTCCACTTGTTGATATATTTTAGTCGATCATTGTCATATCTATAACTTATTCCCTCTCGAATACTCAATCGGGGAGTATATCCACTTCATCGAGGGTAGTTATTAACAACGACCGTTCATTAATAACCCTTACTATTAATCAAATATAGAACAACGCCTTATATCGATTTAATAGTAGCATTTAATCTTTCTAACTCCTTGATGAAATCAATTGAGATTGATAACCTCAACACAAGCGGTTTCGGTTTAACCAACAAAATTAATCCCTCTTAAGTTTATTAACCACGACCGTGCATTAATAAACCGAAGTTACTTACTTGTGAAACCATCAACGATTAACCATCGGTTCGTTGATCGTTTCTAGTAATAACTAATATATGAAACAAAACTAGTTGATCCTTTAAGTAATGTTCAAAATATTAATATGAAATATGAGTAGGGATTAATTAATATTCAAGGAAAAATATTATTAAAGAAGATGAATCCTACTATAATTAATATCAAGATGTTAACTAATTGTCATCTTAGCAACACTCCCCAACATTAATATAGAGGAAGAAAATATCATTCTAACTAATGTCGAGATGTTAACTAATTGTCATCTTAGCAACACTCTTCAACATCAATATAGAGATGATATTAAGGAAAGAACTATTAATTAATATTCAAGGAAAGAAGTTAAGAAAATAACTCACAACTTTAATAATCAACAAGCTTCAAGAGCAACACCAAGATTGGAAGTTTAGCTCCTCATTTGGAGACTAAACATAGCTAGAAAAATATAAAGAAATGCTATTCTAAACTGAGCTAAAGAGTATGGAAGAAGGGATGATGAAATGTGAAGGAAAATGGGGCTATTTATAGGTGTTTTCAACACCTAATGCCGGATACCCGGCCGGGTATTTTGACATACCCGACCGGGTATTTACCAAATCAAATATTTTCCCATGTTTTTGTGTCTTCTGCACGTTCTTTGGTCCGAAATCACAGAATACCCGACCGGGTATATGGAATACCCGACCGGGTATTTGCTAGTTTTGCAGCAGTTTCCTTTGTCACTTCATACCCGGCCGGGTGAAGTCCATACCCGACCGGGTTTTGCACAAAACTCAGGTTTCTTCATCCTTTTTGCTTCCAAACCTATCCTAAACTTATAGCCAAACTAACTACAACTTACAACAAACAATAAAATGCTAGAAATACGATTACAATCAAATGCAAACTAACAACTATAAACTTGCACAAAACTAGTAAATAAACATTACAAGCAATAATAAAAATGTATACTTAGGCACTAACAACTAGTGCCTATCATTAACGTTAAATCTAAAACAAAGGATTGAAAAACAACATCAACATAAGAAAGATATGTATGTATTATTGAAATGAATTTGAATCCGGAAAAAACGTAGTAGTTTTGTTATGTACCGGGATGGAGTAAAGATGTTCTCTGCCTGGTCTTCGACCTACCCAAAAAGGAAAGTGTGAAGTTTATTTGGGACCGAAGGGAGTATTTTATTTAGACCACAAAAGTCGGACGTTTGTGATTAAATTCGAAAGTTTACGAGAAATTTTCTACGTAAGCTGGCCATTTTTCACGATTTTAATATACTTTCTCTGTTCGGTTATAAGTTCAACATGCACTTGGGCACAAAGATTAAGACACCGTGTAAAGCCATCAGACTTTTCTCGATTTTATCCTTCTAAATAGGAAACTACTTGCCACACAAAGAAAGTGCTACGGTAACTAAAGAGGATAAAATTATTACAGCCAAGAAATAAAACAGCAAGCCCGAGTACTGCTCACTTTCGGAAGCAACCCAGCACCCCCTCGTCCGCTTCCACCAATTGTCATCCCACGCGGACAATGGTCTGGACGTCGCAGCAGTCGGCCACCGCCTAGAGGCCACCATCACCGTCGTGCCTCTCATCTTGTGGAGGAGTAATCAGAGCAAAATCGGTTTCATGTCTGTCCATGTCTTCCATTACGGTCATAATTAAAATAGAAAAAAAAGAGAGAAATAAATGAGGGAGATGATGGGAAAGAACCGGAGAATTGGTTGAGTGGGTGAATGAGAATCGCAGATACACAAGGGAAAGAGCACAGAGCTGTGTAAAGAAGAATGGAATCATGAGTGGGTGGAGAAATTAAAGAAAAAGTCAAAAAACGGAAGAAGAAGGGCGGTTGATATGGAAGGGTATAAAAGTCATTTGGCTTATAATTTCTTTTCCAAAATAGAAAGGTTGCATTTAATTTGAAAGTTTCGAAAATAGAAAGTGTTTCACTTATTAAAGAACTGATGAAGTATTGTAATTTTGACTAGATCTATTGCGGCCAATTTCAACCGCATTGACTTTAATATATTGTAATGACATCAACTAAAATCGTTGTACCATGAAATACATTTCTAAGTTTGTTTCAATAACTCTACCGTAGAGGCCTCTCTTAGGGTTTTGTGTGAAGCACTCCTCCGCCGTTGCAGTCTTCCGGCCTTCTAGAGACTGCCGCCGTTCAACCTCCAGATTAATGTAAAATGTAGAAGCAAAGACGACGCATCCAAGTAGGTTGCGAATTCCATGTGTTCTTCTAGTTAGCGGAGATTCTTGATAGATGTATGATCCAATTTGACTATTCTCCTTTTCTGATTGTGCTTGTTTTGTGTTGTGGCAGTTCTTTTTCGAACATTGGTGCTATGAGTTGTTGTCTCGCTCAACTTGAAAAGAAACTAAAAATTGTCATTTAAACATATTGAGTAAGTTAAAGTATAGCTTCAACTTTAAACATTTAGATAAAAAATTGAGTGGAAAGTAACTATAACTTTAATATTTTGATTCAAAAATATTCATCCCCATTAAAAGTTCACATGGCAAAATGATACGGTTATTTGGATAATATGTACCCTCCAATTGTTCAACGGCGCCTAAAGTTATTCCTAGGTTTGAATAGTTTCTCCGTCGGCAGTGTTGCTTGTCTGGCTAATTTTCCAATTGGCGGTCGTCCCTCTAGTTAGGGTTTCAAGTTTCTCCGCAGATCTCCATTTTGGGGACCGTGCGACTTCGTTTCAGCATCATCGAGCAAATCACTTTGTGTATTAGCGAGAAAATAATCGGCTGATAGGGATGAAGATTCTCACAACGTATAGCAGAGACAAAGAGGTACTCTAACGAACATGGTTGGAAACGCAGGACAAATGGAAAAGTTGATCGGGCAGTGCGACGTTTTGGAGATCGAGACTGAGGGTGATGAACTGGTGCTCGATGAGGAGGACGCTTTGGACCGCATGAAGCAGACATTTCCAAGGGCTCGTCCCCCTCCTGAGCCGCCGCCTTGGAGTGTACGAGAGTCTATGATTTGGAAGATGAATGAACTCAGTTTTAATTCGTTTTATTTCATTTGTGTTTTTCTTTCAAACCGCATATTGTTTTGGATGAGTTCTTAGTTCATAGCAGAAAGTTTCAAGAATTTAAGTCAGGTGGTGATGAGAAGTCTTATTTGTTTGTCATTTGTTCAGTGAAGCCCAGTACATATAACATGATCAACGAATCTTATTACTTCTAGAGAGATATAGTTTCTAAATCTGGTTCAAGGGCATGTCAAACAAAAAACTTTTTATCGTTTTGTTTCCTGTTTTATCTCTAATTGTATTGTCAGCCAAGTGATGAACGATTTGTTGATTTAATATAATTGTTTGGTTTTACTATTAAAAAAACATTTTTAATCATATTTTAGAATTTTCCTATTCGGATAATCCTATCCTCCGTGCCATGCTTAGAAGATGCCAGGTAGGACTGAAGATAGCAAATCCTTTGGGATCTATGCATTTTCCACCACTCATTTAATTTCCCACTCAACCCCCCTCTCTCTCCTATCAAAATCATATCGCTCGCTCCTCTAAGCGTTCACCAAATAACCGAAAGAGAGCAGAGAAAGCAAGCTATCGAACCGCAAATAAATGGCCTCTACTTGTGCAGTTTCCATGGTGATGCCCCCACTGACAGTTGCGGCCCCCAAGAGGCAGCCAACAGGAGTCGCCGTTGCTTCCTTCTTGAAGCCGATGCTACCGGCGATGCAATCTAAGCCGATCGTGGCGTCGAAACCAACCGGGAAATTTGAAGTGAGGGCGTCGCTCAAAGACAAGGCTGTTACCGGACTGACGGCAGCCGCACTGACGGCATCCTTGGTGACTCCGGAGGTGGCTGAAGCTGCTGACAGTATCTCGCCGTCTCTGAAGAACTTCTTGCTAAGCATTGTTGCCGGTGGGCTCGTGGTCGCCGTCATTGCTGGCGTCGTCATCGGTGTCTCCAACTTCGATCCTGTTAAGAGGGGCTAAAGAAAGACTCCTTTCATGTAATAATAATAATAGTACTTAATATTATTATTCCCCCTTTTGTCTGGTGTCTGTATTTTCGGATGATATGGTCAATTTAATTTCCGAGAAACAACCGAATCATATTCAAGATTTCATTTTCCATAAACTGCATTTATACACTGTTAAGAAATATATATGGGTGTTCTTCATAACACACCTTACAATGGCTTTGAGCAAATAATACTCAGTGGTAAATGTTTTCCCTCAAGAGGAATCTCACATGTACCTTCCAATTGTTCAACGAAGATAGGACAAAAAGAATTACACTAAACCCATTAGATACCTACTCTCCAGAGAAGGATCAACTTTGTCTGCCTTGACAACTGTGATCTTCACCCTCTGCTCATCACCATAGTTTTCCTCTTTGATTTTAAGCTTAAATAGAAACTGAGTGAAAAGGCATTTCTTAATTATTTCAGAGAATTTAGAATTGTCTTCATCTTCAAACTTCAACATGTATAGATCCTTAGCTGGGCAACCCAATATCTCTTCCCCTGCTTCCTGGAAGGCAGTCACCCATGTTAACCCAGAATGGTCCTGGATTTGTATTTGAAGAAGGTACCTATAGTCACACTCCTCGAATTCTTGATTGCATCTCTCACAGACCCATTTTGAATCCCCAGACTTGGTTACCTTCTTGTTACACTGTCTATCTCCGATCATCAAAGGGCATGCAGTATAACAGAAGTTGTCAGTCTTGATGAAAGACAATGTTGCCTTAATGGTAACCCAGTCTGGCTTATTTGACCTTCCCAGGCCTTCGTTCTTTATTTGGTAGATGATTTTACGTACCTCGTTCTTAGAACCCGAAGGAATAATATCTCTAGATATGGAATGTGGGGCAGTTTCTTTTCCTCCTTGGTCAAACCATTCCCTTAGACTAAGAGCTTCTGGAGAATCAGGGTTTATGAAGAGTTGAGTTGCAGAGATGGTTCCTACTGACTTACCATTGAAATCGTTGACTTTTCCTGCTTTAACTGCTAAAACAGGAAAGAAACCAGAGTCCAACATTTCTTGCAGTTGTTGACCTTCCCTGTTACAGAATTCTCCCCACATTGTTAAGTCCACACTCCGCCCAGATTGATCCTTTAGGTTAAGGACTCTCCTTTGAGTCTCCATGCCATTCTTGCGAAGGATGGGAACAGAAGGGTTAACACATATCACGATGCCAATCACGTCTAGTATAGAATTATTTTCAGAAGTCTCAATTTCACTAATAGGTCTAAAAGAGAATTGTTGTTTGGGAATGGAAGGGTCCTCTTCTGGACAAAGGTCAACTGTAGAGGACGCTTCCAACAATATCTCCCACTCGTTCTTGAGATGGTTGAAGTTCTTCTGTGCGGGTTTTAGGCTTCCTTTTGATACCATGTAAACTTTTCCGACTTCGATTTTCTCGTAAAACCGATCAAGAACGGCGTTGAAACAGGTTGCACGTATTTCTCCACCATCAGAATCAAGAAGATCAAACGAGAAGACTTTTCCATCTCCCTTAGCATTGTTGTAGCGACGAATATCACCTTTTGCAGTCACTCTAGCCTTAATAGCCCACCGACCCAGATATGGATTTAGAGCAGCAATTGGGATTATGCGTGCTGGTGCCTCATTCATCATGACTGCCCCATGGGATTTATAGTTTGGAGGTGGTTGGTATGCCGGTTGAATAGTTGGGCGGTTTGTCTGGAAATTATTGCGAACACTTTGTGAGCTCAAATTGTTGCTGTTTATTTTCAAGCTCGTTTGCCCGTAACTTTGAGAAGGCACATTGGTGTTTCTATTGAACGTTACAGGCTCAGAATTTGTTCTTGGTTTCTGCACTACTGAATCAGTTTCAACAAGTACTTTCGGATTCCCAATTACTTCACAGTCTGGTATGATAGTTTCAAGATTGATTATAACAATAATCCTGTAGCAAGCATGGTAAGATTACTGTTATGTCTCAACAAGCAAGATGGGATGTGGAATACAGATTGAACACGCAAGTAGTTTCTATATTCTCAGATTATAACTCATACAAAAATGTAAGCTTATTTAGTACTGTACGTAGTAATTTAATCTCTGATTATGGCTCGGAAACCAAGTAGCCAGAACTCTCCATTGCATTATTGCTGAAGTTAATTTGTTAGATAACTACATAAGTGTATAATAGGGCACGCATCAAAATTATTAAGATCTCATGTGGAAAAACGCATCCAGAAGCCCAAAAGCAATAAATAAATAAATAAATAAATAAATAAAAAGATCAACCCAGTGCAGTATCATCAATAATTTTCTTACTCGAGCAGCCTAATTCCAACCTTAGTTAGAGGACTCATCATCACAATCCAAAGCTATTATGACTACGTATTTAGGTGGGAGATATTTATCTTTCACATTCTCAGGAAAGGGAAATCACAAAAAAATACAGACCAACATTTCAGAAACACATGAGGCAACATATATGCGACAGTAATTTGAGCAAACATATGCAATTCAAGGGCTGCGTTAACCAAAATGGCAATTAAACATCACACAGCCTAACACCTATAGACCGTAGACACCTAAATATCCGTTTTATTCAGCCAAACCAGTATGGAAATTAAAGAGGGATTTCCTACGGTTGAGACCTCTAATGTCACAATTCAAATTCACGTAGTAGTACTGGAGGAATAATTTCATAGAAATGAGAGCAGTACTTGCGATTTTGAACGGTGCTGCAAATGTACTCTATCAGCTGGACGACGGAACCCTTGCGGATGCCTCCCGTTTTGACTCGATCATTGAGCTGAGTAGCAAGCATCGCTTGCTGAGTGGAGACCGAGTCGGATAGTAAGAGGCGGTAACGCTCCTGCTTGGTGCCTATGAGCTTGATATCCAGCACCTGGACCAGCGGCTTCGAGTTTAAGTCACCGGCGATGATAGCCTGGACGGCGTTCGCCGTTAAATTCACCGGCGGCATCTGGAAATTTGTGCGAGTTTGTGGATCGAGATTTTAGAGGAATTCCGCGAGGGATGAACTTTTCAACGAGCAGATCAGGGCAATTCAAAAGCAAAACGGGTTCGATTCGGGTTTTTATATGGACAGGAGAGAAGGCGAAATGGCGGGGCGCAAAGTGGGCAACCGTCACTTGCAACCATCACGGCAACAGTTAGAAATAATATGGAAACTATTTATGGGCTCTTCAGTCTCCATTTGGCCCAATTGATTGGCACAATTTTTCAAATTTATGGGCTTTTTTCTGGAATACTTGTGTTTCCATGTATTTACACCAATATATTCTTCTGAAAACAATACCAAGTCAGAAAGTTACAGTATGACTGCATGATACTTCAAACCATTATAAAATATGTTGCCTATTTATTTAAAATTATTTTAGGATCCATATAAATGATTCATAGATATACTCTCATTTTCTTATTAATTTAATTAATTCACACACACATATTGATTTATGTGAGAAATTCATCTAATGTGAGAAATGAGATGAATCTCAACCATTAGATTTACAATGTTGCACTAAACAACTTTATGTTGCATTAGGATTTAAATTTTGCAAATCTACAATAAAGTAGCTTATATGATTGATATTGAATTGATAAATTTAGAATAAAATAAGAACGATTTAAAACCATATAAATGTTACCAAATTCAGTATGAAATAATGTTAGCGGGACGAAACGAGTATTAGAATTTGAAGATTTTGCACTAAAACAAGTTCAAATTGGATTGGGCAAGTGCAACATGGGTTTTTGCAGTAGTATTTATGAAAATGCAACCACACATGCTTGCAAATTTTAGTTCAATATGAAGATCTTTTACTACAATATAGTCAAATCAACAATTGAGATTCATTTTTATTTTTCAACTAAATAATTCTTCTTATTAGAATCTCACCCTACATATATTTTAATTTTATAAAAATGGAATTCTATATTTTATGTAACTAGTTTAAAAGAAATACGTAGTATTTGTATTTGGCAACTTTATCATTTTAGCAAATTCACTAACTTCAACTAGTTATGCTCAATGCACATAATCGAATAAAATGGGGTGCATGGCCCACCTATGAAAATGAAAGAATTGCTAGATCGGAAATTGAAAGCTATAAGGCCCCATTTGGTTGATTGAATGTCAGATTGGCGAGTGTGTTAGATTGATGAGAATGTATTCAATTATATCCCATTTGTGTTTGGATGAGACTAAGAGAATATCACATTAATTTGTTTGGTTGAAATATATCTTATACTAGAGATTTGGTGATTTTCTCTTAGCACAATAAATTTATTACAACCTGCATTTACACTAACTTAAATTAAAGAAAAAATGAAATACCTTAACAATTAAAAAAATCAAAACCAAATGAATTATGATTAATTGTACAAATGACAAAGATACATTGTGGATGTTGCAACCAAAGAGAAAGATAAGTGAACATTAAAAAATAATTTTGTTTAAATAAATACATAATGACATACATTAATAAATAAATGTGACTGTATCATTACCAAAACAGTTGTATAAAAAGAACAAGTCAATGTTGCTCTACTTAATTTTGCTAAACTCTCTTTTCAAATTAGCAAAAGAGTGAACTAAATTCTTAAAATAATAGGCACAATAATAAGAAAAACATATTTAAATCTGATTATGATTCAAAGAAAAACTAGAAGGTTAAAGAAAAAACAAAGAACGGCACAATGTGTTGAAAAAATGAATAGAAAATTAAAATAGATTAAAAAGAAAATTAAGGAATAATCAAAAGAAGATTATATAAAAAGGATTAAGATTAAATTTAACCAAGCATTCCAGCCCAGCTGGTTGTGAGATTACTGTGTCTAGTGGGAGGTCTCGAGTTCTAATCCCACTAGGCACATATGGGTTTGAAGCTCAATGGAGTGAGCTTCAGACCTGATTACTCCAGCCCCCCCCCCCCCCCCCCAGAACCCCCTGGAGAAAAAAAAGATTAAGATTAAATTTAGAGGGAGCAATTACTTGATTTAGGAGACTCTTGTAAAATGAAGAGGAAAAAATTTGGACATAATTGATTGGATAGGAGACCTAAATAGGATTGCAGAGTTATTATAGAATGCTAATTAAATTAGCATGAGTAAGTTTTAATCAAGGAGGGGGATGTAAGATAACCTAAGA